GGCCACACTTGACTATCAGTGTAGAGTAGATGCTTTCTCAATAACCAGACGTGTATATTCTACATCCCCGTCGGATTTCACTGTTCACATACTCAAGATTCCTCCATATCTGACTACTCGGTAGACATTAAAAGTTGTACTTCAAAGGTAATCGACTAGATGCTATGCATTCTCTTAGTTTGTCCGCAGCATTATGTACTTGATCGATTCTAGGAGCTATGTAATGTGGCTCAAGCACCGAAATAATTCAGACTCAATGCCGTAGTAACATCGTCTCTCATTTGCTCCAGCATAGGTCATATCAACAGATACCTTCTTCTTGACACAGTTAATGTATTTGGTTCTCGAATTATGATGAAGAATGCTGCAGTCAAGTGAGGGCTGTTCTCTATACTGGTGCTTATAATTATCATTTTTCCTCCCGTCCAAATGGTAAGTCGTCAGATTAGTGATATAAAGTCAAAAATCGTGAATAAGCCACTTCGGTTCTTCAATAGACTTATCAAAGCTCCCACCTTCTGTAGAAACGGTACACTGAGAACCTCAATTGATACGCTCGCTCTTCATACTACGTAGCAATAGCCATTGTCGGATCCATTCACCGATGAATCCCATCAAAAGTGGGAGAAAAATACGATCATCATGATAATGCCTAGATTGACGGGTACCATGGGGAAATGACAGGGATTTGTCATCCTGCAGAAAGAAAAGGTCATCATTGTGATTATCCTGGGGAAAAGTTCTCTTGGGATTGGATAGAGACTCTACGCCCTTCAAGCCACAATACTGGTCTTTAATAACCTTTCCATTCTCACGCTTTTTAAGCTAGTCGACCGTTTCTAGATTCTGTCCGGAAGTGATGGGTAATGAGAGTTTCATGGTATCGATCGTTGAGGCTTACAATAGCAGAATAGTATGCTTGAGAAAATACGAGTGATGGATGAAATGAGACATAAATAGAGAAATAAGGGACGCGACTTTTGTGATATTTGTATTCGAGTACTCGAGTGCTCGTGTACGACTAACGATAGCGGAGATGTCTCCGTCAAATAAGGAGCGGCCGACGAGGAGTTTAGTCGGCTGTTTGATGGAATTAGTCGGCTCTTCAAGCGGCCGACCATCAAAGGATATAGGATATCAAGGATGCAACATCCTTAAATCCGGAAAACCCCCTTTCGCTTATGTAACCCAAAAGAGACCGACAAAGAGTTGCCGAAGCTCTGACCTCGTGATGTAACCTTAATTATAAGTCAGCTTGTAAGTTCAAGGTTTTCTCCAACTATCACCCACCCACACCCAGCATCATCAAGTCCCTGTTGGAAGGATGTGATATCGACATTAATGTCTGTAATCATGTCAATCATTTCTTCATTTCTTCATCTCTTCATTTCTTCATTTCACCCCTATACCCCCATTCCCCTATACCCCTTATCGACAATCGACTACCATTCGCCGAGTTGAAATCTAAGCTGCTGGAGAATCCCAAGATGGATTCTGATTGGCTATAGCTAAGCTTTTCCCCATTCATTGCTGGGAAAGATGCAGCCAAACTATAATTGATGACGATGGAGAAATGGCACGGCACTTTCTATCCGGACTCACTCAATCATAACTCAACCATGACTGCGGGGTTAGTCTAGAAGATGCCGATTATCCACAATTATACAAACTACTATGTATAGACGTAGATCCCCCGCTCGAGCTTCATTCTTCTCCTCCAACAATCCTCATCTTGACACTTGCGTTCATTGTTACTCAAGATTAGATGGATCGAATCAAGCGCGTTTTATCAAGGCCAAATGCGAAGCCATATCGCACGAAACATATCAACGATGAACAACCATATATAAACGAAAATGGCCATCTGGATTTTGGCCCGGGGGATATCGAGAATCCGAAGAATTGGTCGACGGCGAGACGATGGTATATCACTGTGATATCAGTTTTGCTCGTCGTAAATGCAACGTTTGCCTCGTCTAGTCCATCGGGATGTTTGACAGGAGTCGAGAAAGAATTTAGTATCTCTGCCGAAGTTGCAGCGTTGGTCATCTCGGTGTTTCTTTTGGGGTACTGCTTTGGACCTTTGTTTTGGGCTCCATTGTCAGAATTCTTTGGACGAAGATGGATCTTTTATATCTCGTTTACCTTGTACCTGTCATTCAACTTCCTCTGCGCTTTCGCCAATAGTTTCGCAGCTCTCTTGATAGGACGATTCATAACCGGTACCATGGCCAGTTCGCCACTTTCGAATGCGCCTGGAGTTCTCGCCGATATTTGGGGTCCTGTGGAAAGAGGAAATGCAATGGCTTTGTTCTCAATGATGACCTTTGCTGGTCCAGCTTTGGGTCCCGTCATCTCCGGCTTTCTCGAATTAAAAAAAGATTGGAGATGGAATTTTTACGTCATCCTGTGGCTTGCGGGTATCACCGAACTTTTGATGTTTACCATCCCAGAGACTTTACCTTCGAAAGTATTAGTGAATAAAGCGAGGAGGATAAGGGCATTGAAGATCCCAGGTTACGAAAATGTCAAGGCTCCTGTCGAAGATAGCGATCGCACATTATGGCAACTTTTCAAGGTCGCACTCATTAGACCATGGCAACTCCTCATTGACCCGATCTCGTTCGCCGTCGCGGTTTACTTATCTGTCGTATATGCTCTGTTGTATATGTTGTTCACCATCTACCCCATCATTTTCCAAGAGAAGCGTGGTTGGAATTCCGGGGTGGGAGAACTTCCATTGATTGGTACAGTTGTTGGAGCCTTCATAGGAGGTGTCGCCATCTTCATTGTATCCTCTCGCGATAGAAAGAAGTTGGAAGCTGGCCACGTCGGAGTAGCAGAAGATCGTTTACCTGTCGCAATGGCTGGTGGAATTATTTTTCCAATCACAATGTTTTGGTTTGCGTGGTCTGGAAATTATAATGAGGTTCACTGGATTGTTCCTACTCTTGGAGGAGTATTCCTCTCCACTTCAATTCTTCTCATTTTTGTCGCCTATCTCAACTACTTGACCGATACATACCTGATGTATGCTGCGAGTGCCGTTGCTGCAAATACTGTCTGCAGATCGGCAGCCGGCGCCGCAGCTCCATTATTCACATCATATATGTTCGATGCTCTCGGTATCGGTGGCGGTGGCTCACTCATCGGTGGAATCGCTGTTCTCCTCGCTCCGATCCCCTTCTTATTCTATAAGTATGGTGGAGCCATCAGAGAACGATCCAAATTCGCACCCACGCCTACAAAGAAACCTTCCAATGGAGAAGATGTCGGTGATGAAAAAACTGGCGAGGCAGCCCAACCCTCACCAGATAGAACGACCCAAGACAGAACCAGTACCAGCTCCGATTCATCATCAAGTATAGCAAGCATGCCGGCTTCTCCACGTGAAGTCACTTATCGTCAAGAGGGATATATTGAGGAGGGAATGGGATATGGACGTGTAGCACTTCCTAGTGATACGAGAGGACATGATGCTGGACAGCTTGCGAGTGAGAAGTGAGAGCGAGAAGTTGTGCTGAAAGGTAGAATGGGTAACGTGTAATTATTAGAAGTCTTTTGTATGATCGAAATTAGCGGGGAGTAAATATGGAATGTATCAGGCATGGCGAGGGCGTTTAGCATGAATATGAGCATGATAGCGGATATGAATTTGATAATGAATTTGAGGTTTCTTTTGACTCCTTTTTAATGGCTGTGCTGTGAGTTCGAGGTTCATTCTTGCAGGAAATAAGAAGGGCGGATACTGCTTACGGTATGTCATGTCACCGGGTCAGCGCCACTAAATTTTTCTATCACCGTAGAAATTTCATACCATCCCTTTCCAGAAAGCCCCCTCGAGATTTTACCAAGCGGTCACACCGTACTATCCATCAATTTCTATTTAATCTCCATCTAATCTGATCTCTGAGCTCGACCTACGAATTTTGAAAATTGGAATGAGGTGCGTGATAGATAGATACCTAGTTCTGGTGTATGATCTATGTTTCTTTAGGGTTTCTGGTTTTAGATGATGTTTTTTTGATGCATGGATGCATGGATGCATGGATGCATGGATGGATGTATATTATATATCTATACATGTGGATCATGTGGTTGTTGATTATTCAAAGGCTGATTAGCTAGAGTGGGATAGGCGGGCTGGCTCGTTTGTGGTGGTATGTGTTTTTGTATGTGAATGGATGGAGTCTTGGGGAATTGGGTGGTTGGTTGGTTGCTAGATTGAAGGATTGAGGGATTGAAGAGTGGGGGGTGAATGAGGGGTGGATGAGGGGTGGAATTCTGGGGTTGGGGTTGAGGGTTGAGGGTTGAGGGTTGAGGGTGGATGGTGGATGGTGGATGGTGGATGGTGGATGGTGGATGGTGGATGGTTGTTGGGATAGTTGGGATGGGGGATTTGGTTCTTTGGAGATATACCTGGGGAATGTGAGGCTGCTGGAAAGGATGTTAGGCTTTGGAGTTTCTGGGGAGGGATGTTTTGGAGAGAGAAGGTGGATTGATGAGGGTGATAATTCTGTTGAATGATGCTGAGTTGGTTTTGGCGGATTATTCTGGGTGGATGAGTGTTTATTGATTGAGATACGGTGGAGAAAGAGTTTTTCAGTAGAATCTATTTGAGCACTCAGTATCGATATACTAGACTGCACTGCTCTTAAACATCGTTTTGCTCTACAGTGTTACCTCATTTCGAGTAAACTCTGTAACCGGTCTGATCGGACAAAAAATTGTTGAGATTACATTCAATTTTGGTGAGGTAGTGAGTGAATTGGATGGAGATGGCGCGGCTGGATCTAGTCTCTTGCTCTTTCATGTATTTCATACCTTTTGCATTAATCCACCGACGGATTATGGAAAAGAAAGTTATATCGAGAGGATAAGTAGATGATATCTTTTCTGCAATTCTGCCACCTAACTCGTACACTTGAAAGAGTTCCATCACACATTCTCAACCACCCAGGTAGCCAGCTTTCTCGACCCCGCAAAATACAGAAATCGGAATGTCTTCGCCCGAAGAAACCATCACTTCTCTAGCTAGCAAAGTCAACCAACTTCGAGGACTCTACGGCTTCGACACGGTCAAATATTTCACATTTCCATCTCGCGAAGATGTTTTTCTTCGTCTATCCAACCCGGAAAGTAGCGATTGTGGAGTTACTGCACATGTTGCATTGAAAGATGGCTGCTTTGGAATTAGGAGCTGTCCGGTATTCCATAATCGGGTGGACTTACTTGGGAGACGGGGATCAAAAGCTGATCTATTGTCTCAAGTTATTAAATGGTTTCAAGTATGTCGGGAGAGTGGCTATCGATGTATTGTCGAATCGTATTCTCATGCTGACGGATAATTTTTAGGACAACAAGGCGAAACTACCCTTGAGTTATAAAGAGGAAAAAATATATATTAATCTGAAAGCAAAGATACAATCCTCAGAATTTCAAGACCAGCAATTTGCGGAGGAATTTGAAGCATTCATCAGCAGCGAAGCTAAAATCCGCGGACATCTGGTGTCAAAGGATCGAGTCGGGGTCGTTGTTTCTGGAAAAACATTGGAATCTGCTATCTCTAATGATATAGCACAGGTAATTTCATTGTTCTTGATATTTGTTCCTAATTCTATGTTGTACAAAATTAATTTGTCGCTCAAATTTGTTATAGCTCGGTACTACCGATGAAAATAATGGACGTGGAATAAAGAGGGCTAGAGAGGAGGATACGGATATGCCTGGTGGTGATGTGGAAGTACCGCGAAAGCTTAGCAAACAAGGAATAAAGAGAGCGGCAAGAAGGGCAAAAGTAATGGCAATCATGGCGGATGCAGAAGAGTAGTGCGCGCAAAAAGTCATCGTGGGGTTTGGCATCAGGGTTTTCGGATCTCTTAGTGTGGTTTTGCTGTCAGCTGGGGATCATCGATATCGTTGTACTCGCTGAACTGTCGCTACGGCATGGATTGATAGTTTTATAGTTAAAGTGATGTTTCATGGATCAATAGTTCCCTTGAGATAGTCATAGACTTTGCAAGATCAAGATCAAGTAGCGGGCGGCGGGATTATCAGATTTATGGCAAATACTTCACGACTCTATCAAATCCCTTTTTGCAACATAAAATGACCTTAGGTATATTATCTCTAAGTAGGTACTTTAACAACAATCACAAGCTTGTTATCGTCATCTATCTTATCCATCTTGTGTCTCGGCTGATATAGGATATTTTCCCTTTCATACTTCGGATAACATCACAGTCCGGGGTTTACCCACATACGACTATATCCCGTAGCAAGAATGTGTTGCTGTGCTAGTTCATGATTTGGGATTCAGACATGTTCTCATGTCTGATTACTATTTTCGGGAACACTGCGAATATTAACGTCAAAAGAATACTGACATTAGGGATGTTGAGCTTGTTTCCTTTTCTCACATTGGCTTTCAATGATAAAATAAGCTTTTAAGATTTGATGATGCTATTAAATCACGAGTTATCTTGTCATGGCATCGAAAATTATCTACAAGAGCATGCACAGTTATTCTTTACGTGAGTACTAAAATGACAGATGAATTTTGGGGTTAGGTAGTATTTGTATTCCTATTATCCTAAAAAAAAAGTCTCTCAACTAAACAGACTATGAGATCCTCAGATTCAAAGGTGATAGTTAATATATTGATTGATCTTAACTCCGCAACCCTTTCCTTTAGACCGAATATTAATTAGTTAACTAAATATCCTCGAAATCCGCTGCATCACATGAGAACCACTAATGGTGATCCTGGGCTTCTCCAAAAGCTGCGATTCGGCTGTGATCCTCTACATCATCGCGAGTGATGTAGGCTTGTTTATTCGCTTATTGCAAGAGATCTTTAGCTTCCATATCCTGTAAATGTCTACGTTAGTACAATATTATTTCTTAAGTTATAGCTAGCGCTGTAGATTGTGAAAGCTTACCTTGAACCATTCAACAAGCTTAAAGCGAGCATTGACAATCGCATCATTTTGTCTATAGAAAGCCCCATTCTCATCGCTTCTAAATTCGGGAGCGTTTGCAAAAAGAGAGAGGCTGCCATGGACACTCATGATAGCGGTATGAATGTTTAGATCGGTGTAATGGATGGTATCGGGAGCATCGGTGAGCTTGAGACTAATAATGATTCTATACTGAGAGCGGAAGTAGTCTTCTTCTCTAAGCAAGTTGTCGTAATTCTTTGGGCACATCATATTTGCAGTTGTGTGGTGGTGAAAAGTGTTTGAAGGTTCGAAAGTTCGAAGTAGTGATTTGGTAGAGATAATTTGTTTGATGACTTTGGATTCTCAGCGTCTTTGGAAGTTGGTTTGAGAAGTAAATTGAAAGATACGAGAATAAGAAGTTTTTGGAGAGCAGCAGTTTTGGATGCTTAAGTACTTAGTAGAAGAAGCTTCCAAATCAATGAAAACTGGGTCTACGCCGTATCGACTCACAAACCGTACTGTATCACAAAGATTGACAGAAGTACGGCCAAATGACATGAGTATGAATCATCTTCGTACGGTATGACCGTACTATGAGTATGATGGAGATACGGTATCGCGCTGTCGTTGATTCACGCTTCAACATTGTGTATCTTGACGAAAATGAAAGCAAGGACATTCACATCATGAGAACTGTTCGAAGTGGTGTCAATGTAAATGTCCTCATTGTTTATGTAACACTGGGTAAAGATATCACCCGTGAGAGACGCATGAAGCTCTGGTTCTGATATTTACATGGGAAAACTACTTGGATTAGTCATAGTACTTCATTTAGATAATCAGACTAGATTAGACTTAGGTATCATCATCGCTGTATTCCTCAAGACTTTCTTGCCAGACTCCTTACAGAATGCGTATTCATTTGAGCAGGCAGCAATTAAAAACAATTCAGAAACCACCTTTGGGCGTTTTTTTCAAATTTTCAATACCGTATTGTATTTATTTTCTGCATTGTAATGAGCTTCTGTTGTGTTACTCGACCTCGACTCGTCAAATTGCGGGGCAATTAAAATGGGGCAAGGTTCTAAGCGAGTGTGGACGAGACGAGAACAACGACGTCGCGTCGGTCAGCGAAAGAGTCTTCATCGGCGTTGATCACCAAAGGATAATGTATCATATGAAGCAATGAATATTATCTTGTATCTCTATTTTGGAGAATTTACTGATTGCGAAAAAGCTCATATGTGTAGAGTATCTGGTCGAGCATTTTAACCTCGACAACGTGGGGAGATAGATTTCGCTTATTAATAGTATGTATATCAAAGTAAAGGGATATTCATCAAATGGTAGAAGTAGTATGACGCAATGGTCTAATACACTGCATTAAGGCCATCGACCCCTTTGGAGAGAGCGAATTTCCTTGGTTTGGTCGCGTAGTGCTTTCATCTCAAGATACATGCCTCTCTTTCCCTCGCTGTATTCAGATTATTCAGAGTGCATTCGAATCGATTTTCGATTTATTTGATGAAATATTTAACAATATTAGAACATTAAGGATATTTAAACTAATATATTTAAATGATATTAAAAAGTAAAAGAAGTAAAAGTAAAAGAAGTAAAAGTAAAAGAAAAAGAGTAAGGGTAAATGAAAATGAAGATTTATTAACGATTTATTAAATCTTTCAAATGTAATAAGAAGCTGTATTAAGAATTATTTGGCAAATATATAATAAGTGCTCAAACTTTGAGAGCATTTCTTATTGTTAAATTAATTTTTGAATAAATTATTAGGAATTATTTGATAATCTTAAGCATTTGATAAATACATTTATTTATCAAATAATTCCTTACAACTTATTTCATAATCTCAAACATTCGATAACCCTATTATTTGAACTTATTTAGCATTATTTACTAAATAAATAAGGTCTAATAATTTAAATAAATCGATTCGAACGCACCCTTAGCTTACATGTAAATCTGTGCTTCTATCTTTTTTTTTTTCGATTAAATTTCTATAGATCTTGCGATTTCCGGTTCTCGTCTCATATTTTACTTCATTCGTACGTATATACTCATCCAATGATCAATTCAAGCATCTCAGAGACCTTTTCTCGCTGGCTTCTCTTTATTCCCACGCTGCTACTAATACCCGATAACACAAATTTCTTGCTGAGAGAAAATCAGTAAAACTAGCAAAATTACTGCGCAGATTTCTGTCAGTCCTGTAGAAAAGAATTAACGGCCGTACAAGAACGCGTCTAAAATATCTGGACTGATTAGCCTTTGGACCGTGTCAGGTTTTTTGATTACACATCAACGATCATGGCCGTAGTCCTTACTTATCTTTGACACCGTAGCATCTAATTCATACATCATATCTCTTATTGCTCACGTTATCATCAAGTGCTACTGTTCACGAAATCATACACGAGGCAAGTAACTTCTAATGAGTTTACGGTAAACGCGCTACTGCTGCTGTTCTACCCTAGCTGTACCAGAATGTACAGAAGTACGGCTACAATAATTGAGCGTAAAATTCTACCAACTCTACGGTGATCGTATCAAAAACTTGGTAAGTCGGGTACCCTACTTTCGGGCTACCTCCCTTTTGGGCTAATTTTTATATCAAAAATGGATTTTTTTATTTTTTTATTTATAAATAGAATTTATTGAAAATTTTTATATATATAATTCAGATCGTTTTAAATCTAATTTGAAAATTTTAGATTTTTAGGATTTTTCTGAATTGAGATTTAGAGCTTCAAAATATCGATTTTTAAATTTATATAAGAATTATATACAAATTTGAAACTTTTATAAAATTTTTAATAACTTTTTAATAAAAATTATTAAAAATAAATTATAAAATTTTATTATAAATTTATAATATATTTATTTTGAAGGATTTAGAAAAAAAAGAAAATTTCCTATAAATAGACATTTAAAAGAATATTCTCAAAATTATAGGGATTATTTATACTACTTCATGTTACGGGAGCTGCTTCTAGGGTCACGTGGAAGTGTCTAGAGATCTCTCGAGGTGGTTTAGACTAGACTTCAAGTAGGAATTCAATAAGGTTGGTAACTGGTTGCAATTCTCGTAACTATAGTAATGAAACTAATGATTGTTCTTGAGCACGAAGCTCTACATTGTAATGAAATCCCATTCCCTTATATAGACCTTCGTACTGTACTGGAGCGTTCAGGACCTAGAGAGGTCCTGGACCTTTGGTCTGTATGGACCTACATTCCGTTATGCCTGTCATGCAGGGTCCATCACGTGCTAAGAGTCATGTGACGCGGTACCGAGGATGGACCGGCGTAACACTTCAAACTTATTGTATATTATATCTTTATATCTGTTAATTTTTTTGAATTTTTTTGAATTTCTATATAGATTTAAACTCAAAACTTTCAAAAAGATATATAGTTTTCTTTTAATGATTATTATTAAAAAGTTATTAAAGATTTTATAAAAGTTCTAAATTTATATATGATGTTACGACGGGTAACATTGGATCACGTGACGAGTGTCATGTGACAGGACGTTGGAGCCTTTGGAGCTTAGGATCCAAGGAGCCAGGAGCCTTTGGAGCTTAGGATCCAAGGGATCCAAGTAGAACAGAACCATGGGTTTCGTAGAGCAGGAAGGTCTATATAAAGGAATGAGTTTCATTATAATGTAGAGCTTCGTGCTCAAGAACAATCATTAGTTTCATTACTATAGTTACGAGAATTGCAACCAGTTACCAACCTTATTGAATTCCTACTTGAAGTCTAGTCTAAACCACCTCGAGAGATCTCTAGACACTTCCACGTGACCCTAGAGGCAGCTCCCGTAACATATGATTCTTATACAAATTAAAAAATCGATATTTTGAAGTTTTAAATCTCAATATAGAAAAATCCTAAGAATCTAAAATTTTCAGATTAGATTCAAAACAATCTGAATTATATATATACAAATTTTCAATAAATTTTATTTATAAATAAGAAAATTAAAAATTCCATTTTTTGAGATTTTTGATAGTAAAGAGTGGTTCAAAACAGGGGTGGCTCGAAAATAGGGTACCCGACTTAGGAGCTAGATAGAGAATATCTTAGAACCAAATCTCAATTTGAACCAAATTGACCACAGGGGCAAGGACAATCACATCATGAGATGTCATGTTTTGTCATTTTGGTGTCACCATGGGGGGATGGTGATTCCAGTATAGTACAGGGGTTCGCATTGTTGTAGTATTGCTCAAGAAACTAGGAACTAAAACTAGGAAACTTATTTGATGTAATCTTATTAGGAGGTAGTTATAGTGCCGAAGTATTAGCGCTTGTTCTAGCAAGGGTTATATGATCCCTAACCACAGAGAGCCTTTGATGAAACATTTCCGTAGATAGAATTCGTTACAATTCTGGGTTGATTGATGACTAAAGCCAGATACAGAAGACGTGAGATGTAAACATAGTCTGGCACTTGGGGTGGCCCATTGCACGGCAAGAGAGCGTGGCCGGCTTGCTCCATCTGCCCGCCTCGCCCGGCACCTCTTCGATCTCAGGTTTCGATTATATGATCATTGATTACATGATTAGAGCTCTAATCAATCAAATTACTATAAATTGTTGTCAGCTTCTTTACCCTTGGAACCTTCCAAGTGATTTTTGGACTCAGCCAAACTGTCGAAAATTGTTGAATGGTTGTAGACTGTACCTGGAAAATTTTCACTGCTATTTATCATAGTACTTCGTATTAATATGCACCGTACCGGGCAGAAGTGAAGCCTTATTAGAACCTAGATTCCTGCCTAAAGCTGCTTCGTGTAGCCCAGTGTTCTTTTTGAAACCGAGTAGATGAGAAAAATAGTTGGAATCATCCCATGCAACAAGATTCGAGAGCATCATCAATCGTTAGGAGCGGAGAACATTGGTACTGGTCAGTGAGAATAAAATTTTGTGAAGTTCAACCAAGCTCATATTATGCCTCTTGATAAAGCTAATTCTTTCCTCCAGAGAATTCCTTTTGCAGAGTGTCTATATCGAATTTTGATGTCATTCACGTGTATGTTTCGGAAAATACAATAATCTAGGTGAATTATCATGGCTTCAGAATACTATGATTGCTCCAACTGAATATCATACCTTCCATCAACTTCGACAAAGACTGTTTCACACTATTATAAATCTCTCTTGTCAAAATATTATGGCAACGAAGCGCGCAGATAAATTTGGATTCAATGTGTTGGTTATAGAGAAATTCCTGCTACCTCGCTTGCTAACAGTATTAATATCAAAGTAACAACATTTTCATTAAAAAAGAGGTACTTGTGATGCAGCAATTAAGCTTGACAGCTCAACAAGCACCAGTCTCGCCAATTGACGACGCTGCTCTATATGTCCTAACTGGATTTCTCTGGTGATGGTCTGTCTACCTTCTGGGTAAGTACGTTCAGATTTGTTATTCTACGTTCAGACCGAGGAGAGTTTAGGTTCAGATTTAGATTGCACTAGTCAATTAATCACACAGAGAATTCAGCTACTTCTTTTTTGTTCAATTTTTTTTCATGCCTTTTCAACGACTAGTCTTAACCATAATCAATGATATATGTGTTTCTATACTATTCGGCTTATCCATCGAGCTGCCTGGCAATAGATCCAAGGAATCGATCAGTTACTTAGCTTATTCTCTCATTTTTACTGGCTTCGATTGGACGTAGATTTTGTTAAGTCCATCGATTGATCGCCTCAGAAACGGTTCCTTAATAGCGGTGTAACAAAATCCTAAGATAGTACCTAAATCTGAGGTCCAACAGGCACAGCCACAATATGACTTTGAAACCTGAGGACACTTTTGCGCGGAATCTACTTAGTAAGGTTATCCATAGATTTTTCAGTCCCCCTAATTCAACTTCACAGTCTCATTTCTGTGGGACTTTGTATCATGAATGGCTACAAACTCATCCATAGCATACTCGCATATGCAATTCGCTACTAGTGAATGTGAACTAGGGACCCTTTTCAAGTTGAAAGATTGCTAGGAATTTTGATAATGTTGTTACTCTTCCGATATGCAAACGTAAAACTCATCTACAATCATAAGAAACAAAGCTGAGTAGTATTAGTTTTTATGCCCTTCAAACATGGTCTGTGAATCCTTCTGAGTGGCCTTTTGAGACCGGTGAGAAGCATCTTCGTCCTATACCTAGACCTCTTATTAGTGGCTATATTCTAACTCTCTACAAGTTTCTCGCGAGAAATGGGTGTTCCATCCTGGCCGATGCTTTATGACACTCACGGTCAGTCATCCCATCATTCCTCTTGCCCAAGTAAAACCCTCTTGTATCGCAAGTACTGTAATTTCTTGATTAATCAATTCCACGCTTGTTACTATTTTTCATACTAAAGGAGATTATGCAACTCTCGTGGTGGCAGCATCACTTCCAGACACTTCTTAACTTGGTACATGATATTCCATATTACTGCATCAAATCTGCTTTTTGTCTACTAATCTGATCATCATTATGATCTAGTCTATTCTGTTGAATTTTAGAGTGACTATAATAGAGCAAGGTTATAAGCGAGCATAAATGAGACGAGAGTAATGATATCGATTAATGGAATGCTTATTATTAATATTGATTGTTAAGAGCCGCTTTTTATTTTAAAAATTATCAAGATCATGTAATCTTGCTTATATTGTAGAAAGTCTGGTGCCGAGTGCCTGATCGAATCTTACTAGCAAGTTAATGTCACATACCTAGACAACAAGGAGCGCCTTCAAGGACTGATGAGATAACTTAATGCTTAGTATGAGTTCCAAGGTCTATTAATTCAAACCAAATTGCGAACACCCCCGTTCTATATGTTACTAATCACAGATTCAAGAAGTGTATTGTGGGGACAAATATTGAATTCGTGGGGCGCAAACAAACAGTATAAAGATAAATTCACGCGATCTCGCCTATTAATAGTACATATCTCAAAGTAAAGCGATATCAATCAAATAGAAGTATGTATAGCGCAATAGTCTAATTAACACCTTGCATCAAGTCCATCGGCCCCTTTGGAGAGAGCGAATTTTCTTGGCTTGCTCGCGTTGCGCTTTCATCCCAAGATGCATGCCCTCTTTCTCTTGTTGTGCTCAGCTTGCTGGTCAAGCTGTACTTCTATTTTTATTTGTTGGCTTTTTGTGGTTCTCTTGTTTCCCGTGCTGCCTGAGCCGGCCTCTTATTCCTCCTGCCTCTCTTTCTTTCCCCGTGTTCGTATATGTACAACTATTACAACATTTTATCAAGTGGTTGAACCAAGTATCTTATTCATCTTATTTTGCTCATTCCTTCGAATGTCTAGGCTGCCTTTAATACTCGATAACACAAACCACTTGCTAGAGGAAACCAGGAGAACCATTACGATGCTTTTCTGCTAGCTTTATAAAGAAACGACGGCTGTACAAGAATCTAGTGGATATCAATACTGGTCTGCTCTCATAAACGGCCGACTAATTTTCAGTTAGGAAGAGCAGATGTCCCTGAAAATTGAATTGTTCTTATGAGATTTTAACACTAATTAGATTTATAAAATATAATTAATGTTAGTAAATACTATACAGTAAACAATTATTAGTTTGATAAAGCTAACAATACATGTGCTTCTGAGATTATTCAAAAGTTAATAATGGTGTACCAAAAATAAGATTTTTTATCACAAAACACTAGATTTCGTTGATTTTAGTAAGAAATATAGATAAAATCTCGCAGGGACAATTTGCTTTCCCCGACTAAGAACTAGTCAACCGTTTATGACAGCCAACTATTAGAGCTATTTGCTTCTACAACTTATACATATGGGTGGTAAATCTTTAATCTATTTGGTCTATCTATAGCCTATGCTACGCCGAACATGCGATATGCCTCTAAGTGAAGAAAGTAAGGAAGAAATCCAAATTAATCTCACCTTTCTCCCCTCATCGGATGTCCTCTGAATCTCCTATAGTAACGGTCCATACTGTCCATCACTTATACCTCGTGATGCCAATACTTCGAAGACGATTAGTAGTAGTAAACTTCGATTCCAATCTACAAGTTAGTAATTTGTGACCGCCGATCCATATTCAAATTCATTCTGAATGTAATTCTTATTCAAATATTATGTTCTATAGTTCAATTTACATCTCTGTTCCTTATTGCATACAAATCCATCAAATGGTTGCGAAGATCTGGCACACCTATTTCATCCAGCTGTGACAAAACCTTGAAAATACATTTTGCCATTGTGCTCAATTTGACTCAAGCCCTGCTCCATGATAACTACCAATATTCTCGTTACTTGCATGTCTGCTGCAACTAAAATGATGTGGATGGCCTTTAAAGCAAGACTGACACCGAGCCATTATGTGAAGTGTAAGTAGAGAATAACTAAATGATCAGGTTAATTTTTGCAACACCTGAGTCAAATTCACTCACTCGTCGCAATCTCGTCCTGATCTGAGTTTTCGCAATCATTTCTCCAATACTCAATTCTTCGTCTAACCTTTTTAATTTATCCTGTGACATGGTCAAAACAATTCTTTCTTTCAAAATATCATCGACAAAAATGACAGCTAGTGAAAGAGTTTACCATCATGGAATCAAATGCTAAAAGTCGAGGATCACGCACGCAACGCGATAGTGTTGCAAGAAAGGCTGATTCAGTTCTCCAGCTTCACGAATTCTGCCAAAGACACCATTGCGACCTACCCAAATATATATTTGAGAACAAAAGATTGACCCTGTTTTTATCAGGCACACATGTTTTCAGCAAGATTCCCGAATTCCAATCCAAGAATAAAGTCAGGAGCCACGTCGAAGGAGAGATAGATGTAGCTAAACAAGCTATTCGTTGGATTCAAGTAAGAGATTTGAATCGCTTCAGCCCGCATTACCCTCTCTAACATCTTCAGAACAGCCCCTCACCTTCCCTCTACTGGAAGAATTCCAAGACGGAAGAGTTGATAACAGACTTTATGGCAGAACTAGGTGATGGTGTCTACGAGAATGGCACGGACAAGAAGGATCTGGTAAGTTTCATGCAGTATCTGGAAGATAAGGCCAAGGATAAACTGAGGGATCGTCTCGAGAGGAAAGGGGTACCTAAAAAAAGCTGTGGAACTCCTCCTCAGTACACAAGCGCGTTTGAAGTCTGCCGCCTTTCTCATGTGACCTGCACAGCAGCCAATGCTTACCCTGAGATTATTTGTGCACCAAATGTTGTGTTTAAGGTAGGAAGTTTGCACCATTTTCTCTCCATGTTTACTAATAGAGATTCTCAGGAGATGCCAAGACCGATAACTTCCACGATCGAACCAACTTTGGTACAAGAAAAGACCACGCTATCAACGACAACAGACACAATAAGCCAGTGTAGACAATAGTGTACTATAGTGAAATGTTACGGGAGCTGCCTCTAGGGTTACGTGGAAGTGTTTAGAGATCTTTTGAGATAGTTTAAACTAGACTTCAAATAGGAATTCAATAAGGTTGTAATTGGTTGCAATTCTTATAACTATAGTAATGAAACTAATGATTGTTCTTGAGCACAAAGCTCTATATTGTAATGAAACTCGTTCTCTTTATATAAACCTTCCTGCTTTACAGAACCCATGGTTCTGTTCTACTTAGATCCCTTGGATCCTAAGCTCCAAAAGCTCCTGGCTCCTTGGATCCTAAGCTCCAAAAGCTCCAACGTCCTATCACATAACACTTATCACATGATCCAATGTTATCCGTCGTAACATGAAACTGTGGTGCGTATTAGTATATTGATATAATAGCTAGTGTGTTTGAAAAGGGAATTATATTATTCTCGTAATTATTTTTATATCTAAAAATACTAGTAATATACTGAAATATTGAAATTCAATATGACATATCCAATCCTATTCAAATTAGATAATAAAATTCCATTCCTTATTTCAAATTGAAATGAAATCCCTAACTTCTAATCTAATTTGAATAGGAATGAATATTTTATATTGAATTCCAGTATTTCAATATATTGCTAATAATATTGAATAGCTAAATAATATTAAATACTTTCAATAATACAACTTTTAATACCACAAACAACAATATTTTAAAGAAATTCAATAATTATCACTAAATCAATCCGTATATTAATTATAGGAAATACTATTGCCTACACTACAATAAGCCCCTCGCCAAAGCAAGAAAGGCTGCCTCCACTCACTGATCTCGAAAAGTTTTACGGAAGTGTAGGAGTCATGGGCAATATCGCATTGGTAAAAGATCTCGACGATAAATTAAGGTTGTTAATAGCGATCATGTCACAAGACGGTTACAAGTTTTTAGCCAGATTACAAGTATTGAGCATCAGACATGGCAAGAAGCGACTAGAATTTCTGCAGTATTTGATGGATTTTTTCTGCGAAGATTTGATCAAGGATATAACTGGGGACTTTCTTCGGGGTGAACGATCTTGGACCGAAAAGAACATGGCTCAATTCTCTCAGGTTCAGAGTAAAAATTTATTTGGAGTCTTCAATTCAGTTGCTTCATCTCTTGGCTATAAATCTGAGGAAAATCTAAAGCTATTTCTCAGTTGGCACCAAAATGGTATGTTCAAGACCATTATAGATCTGTCGAAACGTGTGGGGGCCAAAACCTAGTTTTACCTCGAAAGGCTCTTGGAATTGGAGGGCGCCGGACTATTCACAATAATGGACGAGGCCACAACTATATCCGAAGGCAAACCTGCTAGACTATTGAGCAGTTATATCTGCCGCTAGACAGATGAGATTTCTCAGAGGTTACGCAAGATTGAAGAGCAAAAGCCAGGGAAGACTTCGCAAATACCCAGTGACGCCCTGCGTTATCACCAGCTCAACATTTTCCGAGAAATTAATACGTTTATTGGAGATTCGAGCGACGGTCAACGTATCAAGAATCACTTCATCTTCCTTGCTGATTGCAGTGTAAAGGGAGCTCTTGGATTCCTTGCGGCTATTGATCATGCAGCAGGATCATTTGGTATCGTCAGATTTCTTGAGTTCTCTTTGCAATTGTACCACTGCGGTGTATATCGTTGGGCATTGAATAATAAACACGTAATTGGGAACGACGCTATGTTCTTTCAAAAAGTCTTTCTGCTTGTTAGAGCGCTAAATGATAGAACAGCAAGTCAGGCTGTTAAGGATGTAGTTGCCACCATCGAACAACTTGTCCCGGCCGGAATTCTTGCAAATAATGCAACGACACCAATCTCGCAAGGAGCCCAGGCTCCAACTCCAGATTCATCACCAGCTCCAATCACTCCATCATTTGATGAACAACGCCAACTACCTCCTACCACAACAAACCCTAGTCCAAAACCGAAATCAAAATTCAATTTGCCAGGCTCTAAGTTATCACCACCTTCCAGTAAAGCCTCTAGTTATCCTTCTAAGAATGTTAAAAAGGCCGATACAACTCTACCCGAAGCAACCAAGAGTACTAAAAGACCAATCCTAGCTCGTGGAAAGTGTATCAAATGCCCCCGCGCTGGATACAAGATACATCACGATGGCAAAATACTTTGTCTAGAATGCAGAACCAGACCCCTTTAATCGATACAACAATCCGGATAAATCTGTCTTTTCGCTACTGCGCGGGATTTCTAACCTTCGCTGTACCATGAGATATTACGTTCCGGATCGTGTGATCAGCAAAATTTCCTCCGGTGGAATCTTCCACTTCATGGACAGATATAATTGCGTTGACTTGATGTTCAGAGTCTATATTTCATTATTTCATTTTTGCTTTCATTGTTCATTGCGTCTTTTGAGATCTGGAGATAGTGTGGAGATTGTATTTCATCATGATTTGCGAGGGAGGTGGTATTGACTATGTCTGATAGATGGTACGCTGGTTGGATAGCGATGAATAAATGATGATGCTGAGTGGTATTAAAAGTTTACACAGAGGCATATCAAAGGCAGATACAGAGGCAGATTAAGCTGGAGTTACATATTTTTAATGCGAATGAGAATGATAAGCAGTGTACCATGGGTGAATAAATACACTATGGTAGCGAAAACGATAGTTTAGATTACTACCAAGAAAAATATACAAAAAATAGTTTAAAATGAACGTTGAATGGTTGCCGCTGAGGATTTTGGTGACTTTCGTAACAATTCTAGAAGTTTCAGTTGAATAAAATTCATAATGAATTCGTATGAGATGATGACTTTGGGAGTAATGATACAACTATAGCCGTACACCTAGTAATGGAGTTGACGAGACTTCGGGTCGTGAAGCCAACTCGTACACTACACCAACTTTAGGAACCCAATAAGTTTATAATACATTTAAAATACAAATTTCGGCTTTCCCACTAGAAGCCTCGTCAATTCCATTACTAGATGTACGATTAGTCCTCTCAGGCAACAGACATGTTGTAGTTCCCGATCAAGGATGCGCAGTCATTTGGTTTCTAGAGTCTATACAACAGCATACATCATTTTCTCATGATATCTCTGATTAGACGTAACAGCTCATGAGTGAGCATAAATCGATATGAATTCCATAGAAACGTTGAATAACTTTCAGTATCTTGGGATAGCTAAAGAGGGGGAGCAAAGTGAGAGTGCCTAAAACCATGACGATCTAAAACGCGAAACATGAATCAAGCAAGCATAACATCTTCCAAATGATATAGAACATTTTTCATTCAGCTATTGGAGTGGTGTTACTAACGTACTCAAAATCTCTGACCCGCAGGACTTTAACCTCAAAATATTCACAACTCAACACAGAGAAATAAAGAAATAACCCAGCCCCCGCTTCGAGGTCTATAGATCCACACAATCCCATTCATAATATCACTCCAATCTATCACTACTTTCGTACCCAGTCCGGTCCACTAGTATCAAGTTTAAATTTGTCATCTTGTCCCTCAACCTTGTCTTCATCCGTCACTTTTCGTCTCTTATTCGGCTTGCTGAGTAAACTGAGCGGTGTTGTGAGATCTGACAACTCAAACTTGGGAGAATTGTCGAGGATGGCGTTGTTAGATTTTTGTGTGTTAGACTTTCGAGTGGTAGAGCTGCCGCCAGTGTCGAAAGTGCGAAGTCGAGAAGTACGAAGTCCAGTGCCAAAAGTCTCAGTTCCAAGAACAGAGGTGTAAGCAGGACCGCGAAGGCTAAAAGGGATATTTGTCTTTGTGCCGACTCCCTTTGGGGTTTATGTATCGTTTTCAATCTTTTTAGGTGTCATCCAGCTAAAGATCTTCTTCTTTTGGAGAGGTGGCAAGTTGATTGTCAAACGTAAGTCTGCTCTTGACGCCCGAACCGCAATTTCTTCCTTGGGAATTGATTGAGATTTAAATGTCTCATCTTCAAGCGGCTTTGAATGGACAGTGGAGATACCGGCTGTTGCATTAACGACGTTTCCATCATTTCTGTTCTTCGCTGTTTCCACATCATCATTATCTTCGTCGCCCGAAAGTCTCTTTCTCTTGCCCGAAGAGTTATTTACCAACAGCGCAAAGTTTCTCCCATCTAAACTCTTCGTTGTCACCTTCTTCGAATTCTTCCGCTTCTCACTTTGAGAATAGTCGACGTTTATGTCATCTTTGGGATCGATATTGACATTATTTTCAGGGTGTAGGGCTTTTGCTGCTTGATACTTAAGTTCATTAATATCAGTCTGTGTCATTTGACGAGTGAAAACCTGGGGGACTTACGGCAGCAAATCTCATTTCAGGGTTACTCACTTTATTGGAAAGCACTTCATGTAAAAGCTGAAGATGTATCTGATCAGTGGTGTCGTCAAGTCTTGGTTAACACGCTTCAGACTTACAGGACCAAGGATTTCTCCGCCATCAGTTGACGTTGCCAAGCGCAAACGATGTTCCATATAAGCAGAATAGTTGTCGGCCTTTTCTGCAGGTATGCCTTGGATGATCTTAACCATATTATCGTAAGCCTCTACAAACGCCTGTTCTTCTTTCGCGCCCGGAATCCATTCTGGGTCTGGATTTTTCTGCAAGTAACTATGTTAGCTTGAGTCTATTCTGTATCACGACGTCATGCAGAACTTACTTCCCAGAAGCGCAATGCCTTTCCAGCTAGACATTGCTTCAAATTCAGGATGTCTTTGGGGCTGGACGATGAAATATCTTTGCGCCAGGTGCACATATCATGAGCGATGTAACCACCACGAACATCCAATGAGCCAAACATTTTATCATCTTCAGAGAAAAATTTCCATTGCTTTCGAAGGCCTTTTTCCAAGAGCGTCCTATCAAGTGCACTCAAAACAGTGTTCTGGGTAAAGGCATATTTTGATTTTGATTCTGACTTGTTTGAAGCAGTCTGCGGCTTCTGCGAAGCCAAATTTTTTGGTTGCGGTTCCATTTTCGTTCAGGTACAGCTTTGTGTTCCTGACTGGCTAAGTAAAAGAAATAGAAATTTTCAATAATCAGTAGTAACTTGTTAAACCAAAGCCTTGTATAAATCTCCTCGACCTCGTTGCCAAAATATGATGCCGAAGATAATACTACAATGACGTGGTTAGACAAGGTATAAAACATATAGAGCTACTACTGCCCTATGGCCCAAGAATAGAATCCGATTTTGACCACTAGAGTGAAATATCAAGGCTCAATGTTGCCAATGCTTTAATCTTGACAACCTCGGAACTGGCAAAAAATTCTGTTACGTGAGATATGGAAAGATTTTAATTCACCCACAGTTTCACGCCCATTAAACCAATTGGACATTGCTGTTCACAACAAGAGATCGGATGAAAATCGTGAAGACAATAATCTGATCTCCTCAGAGCAGATCTATCTACCTAAGCAAAAGAAGACTGAACAAATGGCTAAAATAAAGCTATTCTCACTTGTCAGATATCCGAAGCATTCAGCAACGGATCACCTATGCCCTGTTCGAATCAAGTGATCCATCGACTTTCTTTGAGCGAGATGAGAGAAGATCTTGGTATCAGATCAGAAGGACTGAACATGTCAGAAATAGCAAATATGCACCATATTCCACTAAGAATACCTACCAGTTTGTGTATTCCTGGCATACAAAAGGCCCCTATGGTCTTTCATTCGATAAGTCTAGTGCTTCGAGCTTATTCTACATCTCCTCCATCCTGAGCTTGATTTCAAGATATTCTGATTTTCTTTCTGGACAGCTATATGACTATCATCTATCTGAAATGAAGGAACAATTTTTGAATGAGCAACATCTGCATTCCCTTCCTCTTTTTGGATCGAGCAACCTTCAGATCGAGTAATCACCTGTGTCGAAGATCGCTTTCTATTCGCACAACATCATGCATCTAACACGACTTCAGAATTTAGCAGAACCTACCTTGAACCACACGATAGCCTAATTTCCGTTCCAACATCATTAACTGCAATTCCTTCAAACTGGTATCCCTCACTGAAAACCCCTATGCGAACATGGTCATCGCCTCTAGATACGGACTCAATCTCTACATACTCTATGATTCCAATATCAGCACGATCGATAACTCTTAGGGTGGTCAGCCACTGAAAATCCTGTTCAGCTTATCATTGGTGATCCAATTTTAAATTCATCGTTAGGCTGCGCAACGAGTACCCGCGGGGCGGATAATGGCCTCGACAGATAATCCGCGGATAATCCGTCTGCAGAACAAATAATTCAAAAATTTGAATGAATAACCCATAAAGCGAATACAAATTACCTACAAATATTCACCTATTTATATATTATATAATTATTTATAATCTTTTATAATATTAATATAATTTTATAATTAATATAAAAATTAATATAAATCTAAGCTTGAATCACTTTTGGGCTGGAAAATAATTTGGGAATAGCTTTATATTTTAAGCGAATCTCCACTTTTTTCGGAGAATCTATATATCCACGGATTATTTACAGATAATTTGCAAATAATCCGCAGATAATCTGTCTACCCATATACCCGCAGATTATTTGCAGATAATCCGCAGGTTACCTGTATAAAGCGGGTAATTTTAAAGCCTTGATAAATAATCCACAGAGCGAATAGAACCTCTAACGGATAACCCGCAGAACGGATTATCCACAGATAATCCACAGGTACAGATAATTTGTGCGCAGCCTATTCATTGTAGATTCTGTACAGTGCTTTTAGAAGGTTATGCAGCGGTTCTATAAAGAACTTTTCGGGCAGAAGATAGGGGCCCGATGCAATCGTCTGATTCTCTGCCATGATTGCTCTTTTCCATTGAGATAGACATGCGGTGTCAGGAATGATCAAGGTAGTAGCTGTGACTTGAAAAGTCTTTGTGTCGTGGTTGAGGGTGGATTTGTCGTGAATAAAAATGATTTTAGAGAGGGCAAAAAAGAATACTCCACGTGCGCTGGTTTCCTCCCATGAATTCACATCTATGGTTCCCCATAGTTTCGCGTTGGCAATTCCATATGATTAGTTTGCTTGATTTATATAAACAACTGTAAATGCACATATTAGCTATCAGACCTTTAGTGAACTTGCGGGATACATTCAAAGGTTTCCTCGTCTGGATTCTCTTCCGCTTCGTTATACCACAAGCGACGATTAGAGTAATAAGTATCCGTGGCGTAGAATCATCACTTGACTTCCAACTCTAAGAGACGAATGAGAGAATACGCCAGATAATTCCCCAAATACTTACAATAACAAGATAAAAAGAATGAAGTTTTAATCAATTGCAAGCTGACCTCCAAAATCCTCCCTCGTAGCGCACAATATTCCCAGACCTAACCAGGCCACCTCTCTCCACCCACTATCTGCCCATTCAAGTCAATCCATTTTGCCAACCCCTTCTTAAACCATACACTGAACATCTGCGAAGATTACCAAGACAACTACTCAATCAAACATACTAATATCACAACACAATACAATACATAGCCTAATCGATCATCTACATGCATCCCCAGCTAGCATCTAAACATTGAGATAGATGCATAACGTAAGTCATGGCGTAATGCGTCTAATGGCGTAATGCGTCTAATTGTGGGGGACCACCCCATCAAAAAAGCAACAATTCAACAATGGTCCGTCGAAAAAGTTTAAAAGTGCAGGAAATGGAATCTCGACTTTCTGAAGCAGTATTAGGAGTTCAAAATGGAAAGTATAAGTCTTCATATGAAGCTGCAAAAGAACTGGGGCTTTCTAAAGATACTGTGACGCGACGCGTCAAAGAGGGTTCATCGCGTTCTGAAGCACGTCAATCGCAACAGAAACTTTCTGCTGTACAAGAGAATGTACTTCTTAAGTGGATAAAGCAATTGACAATTAGTGGCTATTCACCAGGCCATTAGTTGTTAAAAGAATTGGTTGAGGAGTTACGTTCAAAACGGACTTATAATTTGGATTGCCTCTCATTTGACTCCCTTGAACTCCCACCACAACACCTTCTTGGTCATAAATGGGTTCCACGATTTATCAAACGACATCCTCATCTTACAGTTGTTATTGGCCGTCGAATTGAATCTGTAAGAATGGATGGTGCAACCAGGGAAACATGTAGTACTTGGTTTGACGCGTATCAAAAAGCGATTCAGGATTATGGAATTGAGAAGAAAGACGAATATAATATGGATGAATCTGGACATTCAATTGGGACAATGGAATCAACTCGAATTATTATCGATTCTACACTTCGTACAAAACATCAAGCACATCCAGGCCGTCAAGAGTGGATTTCAATGGTAGAGTGTATTTGTGCGGATGAATCCATTCTTCCACCACTCGGGATTTTTAAAGGTAAAAATGTCCTTCAAAATTGGATTCCGAAGGAAGTTCTTGGTAGCTGGTTCTTTTCAGCAAATACAAAGGGCTGGACAAGCAATCTTCATGGATTAGAATGGCTAAAACGCGTTTTCGAACCTGCAACTCGTGCAAAAGCAGGTGGCAAATATCGGCTTCTCATCTGCGATGGCCACGATTCTCATATTAGTGGAAGCTTTATAGCTCACTGCCTTCAAAATCGAATTGTACTTCTTATACTTCCTCCTCATACCTCGCATTTGCTTCAGCCACTTGATGTTGCGGTTTTCGGTCCATTGAAAAAACGGCTCACCGCAGCACTTTCTGATTTGAATCAAGCTCAACTTGTACGAATACAAAAGATTGAATGGATGGAGGCATATATTAAAGCTCGAGCCGACGTATGCCATCATCAAAATATCGAATCGGCATGGCGGGGAGCTGGGTTACATCCATTTAATCCACAGAGAGTGTTCCGTACACTGGATCGAGAGTTTACCCCCGAAGTCGAAATATCTAAAGAACCAACCCAATTTGATATTTTTAACCAAGTCTTCGTCAATAGCTCACCCCCGGATGTAGCAATCTTACAAACAGCAAATAACCTTTTAAATTCAACAATTGAAAATGATACGACTCTTTCAACCCCGGTTCGTCAATACATTCGAAAATTGACGATTGGGAGTGAGCAACTTCGAGCTCAAAGTATTGTTCATCAACACGATGCGAATAATTTACGAGCTATTATGAAGAAACGTACGATACATAAGAAAGGAAAGAGACTAGTTTTGAAGGGTCATTTTCATATTTCTACGCAAGAATTATGTGATGCAGTAGTGGAAGTCGAAAAAGCTACTAAGGTACAGACAATGAAAAAAGGAAAAGGGAAAGGGAAAGTAATTGAATATGAAACTGAAACTGAAGAGGATATTGGAGAAGAAGTTGAAGATGAATCTGAAAGTGATACTGGAGATTGTATTATAGTTGATTGTTGAGTAATTGAGATTTTAATAGAGTGGTTCCCCGCAATTAGACGCATTACGCCATTAGACGCATTACGCCATGACTTACGTTATATCGTCATGACAGTCATTAAGATACAAACCTTCAGCTGATTGTGGAATAACACGGAGAAACTTAATTCTCAAGTCCCAGCTACAGTGTGACAACTAAAGAGTTTGATCGTGAGATAAATGAAAGGACTTCTGAGTGTTCGCAGTGTAAGAAGCTAAATTGCAATATGGCAATCCTCATGGGCAATGTCAGATTGAATTAGACGTTTCTCGCTCATGAGTTCGTGCGGTTTTTCTTGCAAAAATCTCGCCATCGGACTCTTCCTTTTCTTCCTTTTTGTGTTCGTTGTCTTAGCCGCTAGACTTATGAATTTTAGACGATCCAAAAAGTGTAGGAAAGAGCAGTCACGAAGATTCTGGGAGTCAAGAAACGATCTTGTTCAAACATAGGCAGTGTTATGTGTGTATCAAGATTGATGCAAATTTTGATTGAGAAACACCCGAAATGATTGTAGGCATGTCGACTACGGAGGGAAATGCGCGTGAGATTCTCAGACCTTTGTGCCTTTTATTCTGACACCATTGCTGTGCATCAATTTGTA